TTCCTCCATCGAGCTCCTCTCTCCTCTGGCCGAGCCCAGGGACAGAGGGAGGTTCTATTACACATTTTTGTCTCTTTCACCAAGTCCAACAGTGAGAAAATAAAGCAGAGTGTGCACACTAGGGACTCAAAACTATTCTCTACTGAGTCAACCAATAAGCAGACAACAGTCCTATCCTCTATAATAAAGAGGTAATATGCAAATTAACCCGCACGCCCTCACAAGATGGCTGTCTACAACCAGGCCAGCAGGGGGGTTAGTGAGGGACGACCAAACGACTGAACAGCCAGCTGTGTGGGGCGACCAGGCCAGCAGGGGGGTTAGTGAAGGATGATGAAACAACTGACCAGCAGGCTGTGTTGGACAACCAGGTGGGTGGGGGCAGGCTGTGTGGGATGACCAGGCTGGTAGGGGGGGCAGTTGGGGGTGACCAGGCCAGCAGGAAAGGATGATAAAACGACTGACCAGCAGGCTGTATGGGATGACCAGGCAGGTGGGGGTGGGCTGTGAGAGGCAACCAGGCCGGTAGGGGGGGCAGTTGGGGGTGACCAGGATAGCAGGTGGGGGGACAGTTAGGGGCAACGTGGCCAGCAGCAGGGGGCAGTTAGGGGTGATCAGGCCGGCAAGGGGGGGCAGTTAGGGGCAACCAGGCAAGTGAGCAATTAGGAGCCAGCGGTCCAGGATAGTGAGAGGGCAGTCGGACATCCCCCGAAGGGTCCCGGATTGGAGAGGGTGCAGGCTGGGCTGAGGGGACTCCCCACACACCTGTGCACAAATTTCGTGCACTAGGTTTCTAGTAGTCTTATATTCACATACAACTTCGCCTTCAGATCAAGGCGGTGAAAGCAAGACCGGCACAGCTCTCCCCCAGAGGGGCTGGGCCAGGCGTCCGCGGAGAGCGAAGCGCACACCGTGAACCTGGATGGTTTTCATCTGCTCAGAAGCCAAACAAAATCGTCGCCTGAGACACCGAGAACCCAGCACTAGTGCCGGCCACCCCGTCACCGTGGAGCAAGCCGTCTGTCCAGGGGGCCTCCTTGCATAGCTGGCTGCAGTGCCACCCCTGCCCTCGGCCCACTCCCCAGGCCCCTGCCCCTGCACGCGCGCGGCGAGGACCTCAGCCCTGGAGGGGGGCAGCGGGCTCACCGTACCGAGACGGGTGCTTCGCTGCTCGCGGTGGACGTCAGTGTGCTGTTGGTGACCGACTTCTTGGGCAGCTGTGGACTGGCATCTGGCTTGGTCTCTATGCTGCTTTTGGACGAGCTGTCATTCACTTCATTCTCTTCGACGGGGATCTCCTCGCAGTAGCTGAAAAAGGCACCACGAACCACGCTAACCTCAGGGACGGAGCTATTCTAAGAACCAGACCCACCCACCCATCCAAAACGGTGGCTTCCCTGCGTCTCTGCTCTGCACCTGATCCTCCTCCAACTACCCGCCCCCCTCAGACCCCCCTAAAACCTCCTTCCCACCTTATACCCCCAACGCCAAGTAAACTTTCTGGCTCCAAACTCTCCTTTAGATTTATCTCTAAAGTAGGACCATT